ATATTTCCATTTTAAAACAAACTGCTACAAACACATACTTCTCTCAAATCCAGAGTATGTCTCTATTCAGTTCAGCTGTAACCCATATCACTGTAACTAAAGATCTTCTCCCAAGGACACAGTGAGTGAGATGACCTCTTGTTTGGTACAGCTTTCTCTGCAGTGGCACTGTGGACAGTTCAGGCTGGCCATTTCTATGTTGAAGGGGCTGGCTTGTGTGATGTGAGATGTTTAGTAGCAACCTGGTCTCTACTCTCCAGATGCCCGTAGCACTCCTCCACTTGTGACAACCAAAAGTGTCACCAGACATGGCTATATGTTCCCTGGGGAGCAAAACTGCCCCCACTGAGAATTGCAGCCTTACTTCCACCCAGAGTCACCCTCCCCTCACCATTCAGTCTTGTCACCACGGATTCCAAAAGTATCAGATTCTCCCAGCACACCTCCATTAATGGTTTCCTAGGAAAACCAAGTCACCTTCAGCCTTCAGCCTGGGCTGGAAGTGTTGGTGGCGATTAGCTCTATCTTAGGCACAACAGAGATGTGAGTTAGGCAGCGTGCATGCCAGAGGGGCTTGTGAAGGATGTAGTTAAGATACAGATAAAATGTGTGAAGAAGCATTTTCAGAACTTGAGTTTTTCTCAGTAATCCCAAGATACTCTCAAGGTGTCCACATGTTTTGTCTTTGTCTTTGCATAGAGGGAGAATGCACGTGGGCTGAAGTGCTGAGAAGGCAGAGAGAAGGGGCAGTCCAAATCCCAGAGTGTGAGATCTCTGATCCCTGGCTAACAAACACTCCACCCAGTGGTAGGCAAAACAGAGAAGGCAAAAATGTAGAGATTTACCTGCAAATCACACAAAACTTTACATGCAAGCCTTGCTCAGCAGCAGTCAGGTCTAAATTATCCCTAGGCAAGTGCTGAACTACTTTTGAATTCTTGTGGAAACCAATCCCCTGATTTCCTTAACTGAGCCTTTTGTAGATGTGACATTGTCACCACTGATACTTGCTCTGACATGTAACCTGTATTCTCACAAAGATGCAGAAGGAAATAACCTGAAATCTAAAAACACAACTTGAGCTTCCTAATGGGAAGTGAACCAGTGAATTTACAAGCTCTTAGAACAGGAAAATGCTCTTTTGAGCATTTCTTCTGGGGAAGGCAGTGTGGGGGTGGTTGGAGGGGAGTAGACAGATGGATAGAATGGGGCATGGGGTAGAAGTTGGTTCCTCTGTTTCACTGCAAATGGATATACCTCTCCACACCCAGGAAAGAGAGATGTGGAAGAGAGAGTAAAGAAACTCTTGACCATTGACCAAGGACCCCAAATCCCAGTTTAAGATCCACACTCACAAGTAAGCATTATTCAACAATCACTGTGAGCTCTCTTTATGGGTAAAAGCATGGCTTAGAGGACAAGAAAAGCATGGACAATACAGGACTCACTGACTCCCTACAAAAAGAATGAAAAGTCTAGTCAAGTACAAGAAGGCACATTCAAGCCCAGTGACTTAAAAGCACTTGAAAAGTCAACATAGAATTGTGCTGCCAGCTGCGGTGGCTCACGCCTGTAATCCCAGCACTTTGGGAGGCTGATCCCAGCACTTGAGGGATCTCAAAGTCAAGAAGATTGAGACTATCCTGGCCAACATGGTGAAACCCCGGCTATCCTAAAAATACAAAAATTAGCAGGGCGTGGTGGTGCGTCGCCTGCAGTCCCAACTACTTGGGAGGCTGAGGCAGGAAATCACTTGAACCTGGGAAGTGGAGGTTGCAGTGAGCTGAGATCACAGCACCACACTCCAGACTGGAGAAAGAGCAAGACTCCGTCTCAAAAAAAACTAAAGAATGGTGCAGAGAAACTATGCAAAGACTAACGCAAAGGAAAAGAAGGAGCACTGGAAGCAGGTGAAGTTCCTGCAAGGGGTTTTCAACCTGGATTAGGAAGAGTCAGGGCCCGGTAGGGCGCAGTGACTCACGCCTGTAATCACAGCACTTTGCAAGGCTGAGCTGGGCAGATCACGTGAGGTCAGGAGTTAGAAACCAGCCCGGCCAGCAAGGCAATCTCTACTAAAAATACAAAAATTAGCTGGGCTTAGTGGCGTGCAACTGTAATCCCAGCTACTCAGGGGACTGAGGCACCAGAATCACTTCAACCTGGGAGGCAGAGGTTGTGATGAGCCGAGACAGTGCCACTAGACTCCAGCCTGGGTAACACAGCGAGACTCTGTCTCAAAAAATAAATGAATAAAAGAAACTGTCAGGGCTAAGCTGAGAATATCCAGCCAAGCATGGAGTTAACTCCTTGGGTCTCAGGTCCCGGCACCAAGGTCACCTGCCCTGGCCATTCCTCTGGAATAATGACACCTCAAAGAAATAGCCTCTCTACCTCACTACTCGTGTGCCAGGAGCTCCTTTAAGAAGCTGCATGGAGCCCCACCCCACCACCTCACCACTAGTGGTCACTTAGGTAGCAGGGACTCCTGTAAACCCCCACAGGAGAAACAAAGGCCATGAGCATAGGTCCAGGGAAGAACAGTAAAGGACAGAGGTCACTGTCTGAATATGAGACTTGAAACCAACGGGCACAGTTCTCAGGAAGGTCAGGCCTGCTCTGGGCTTTCCTTGGAGCCAATTTAGAACCCCCCAGACTGCTCAGGTGGGGGCACTCTGGAGAACATGGCCCAGGCTCCACCATCTGGTCAACTGTGCTCCTGTCCCTGACTCTACATCCCAGGCCGCCTTGGTTCTCAGCCTGGGCCCTTTTCTCCTCCCTCTCTGTGGAAAAACTCATTCGTTACTATGGCTTTAAAACCCTTAGGCTGATAATGTCCAGATGCAAGTGTCTAGCCCTGACGGGGCCCCCTTCTGAATCCACAGACTCACATCTCACCTGGACGTCTCATGTGACTCTCATGAGCAGCTCCTCCTTGTCTAAAGCAGAGATCCCTTGTCTAAAGTGGGATCTCCATACCGATCCCGCCCTCCCACCCCTCCACTCACCTTGGTAAATGGCACCACCAACCACCCAAGTGCTGACACCGGGAAACTGGGCGTCCTGGTTAAATCTCTCCTTTCCCCTAATCTCCCCACCTCTTTCCAGGACATTAACCAGTCCTGGCATCCATCCAACTCAGCCCCTTGTTTCATGTCTTTCTACACTTCCCACAAATTAAAATTATCTTGTTCATTTGGTTTGATTCCTTTTTTGTTGTTGTTGTTGGTCCCTTCTTAAAATGAGGGTGGGGTCAACATCTGATTTCTTGCTCACCAATTCATCTCCAGAATTTAGCCCAGTTCCAGACAGAAAATAAACACTTACTGAATGCTGGTTGAATAAGTGAAGGAAGAAATTCATTGATAAAGACTTTGCCCAGGATGAAGCAGCTGTCCCATGACTGGCCTGGCATAGCCCCATAGGGCAACACCCTGAATTGGGCCGGGCACCGAGTCTCCCCACCTATGTCTCCCTCACCTTTTCACAGAAGGATACCAACCAGAAAAAAAGGTACGTTTCTACCCAAATGTGAACCAGCAGCTTCTGAATCCCTCATCCTTCAAAAAGTGGAACCCGTAGCTGGATTTCCACACTGAATCTCTTCAACCCCCAACTGCAGGTTTTCTTTCTCTAACTGCCATTTCTCATCTCCAAAACAAATTCTTCCTTGTCCCAGGATGGAAATACTGCTTCCCTGGCCTGGCCTGACTCCACATTTCTATTCCTCAGCCTACACGTTCTCTCCGGGTGCCCGGGCAGCATGGCATGCCTGGAAGGCAGCAAGTACAGTGTGGGAAGTGGAAGGAGCTCCAGACTCGGGATGCTGGGCTTCCTTCCCAGCTCAGGCATCCACACGCTGTAAGAACCTAAAGGAGTCACTCCACCTCTCTGAGCCTCAGTCTTCATCTGGAAGTGACGGCTTGGGCTCCTTGCTTCTGAGTCCTTTCCAGCAGTGACCTTCTGGACAGCACTCCCATGGCCAACTGACACTTTAGCAGAGCTTCTTGGTGCAGGGTAGAAGCCAGGATGACAAGAACCTTCATGGCTGGTGGCCGGGCGCGGTGGCTCACTCCTGTAATCCCAGCACTTTGGAAGGCCAAGGCGGACAGATCATGAGGTCAGGAGATCGAGACCATCCTGGCTAACACAGCGAAACCCCATCTCTACTAAAATACAAAAAATTAGCTGGGTGTGTGGTGTGCGCCTGTAGTCCCAGACACTTGGGTGGCTTAGGCAGGGAATCGCTTGAACCTGGGAGGTGGAGATTGCAGTGAGCCGATATCTCTGTCTCAAAAAAAATAGTAAAAATAAAAGAACTCTCATGGCTGGTGCACATCCTTTCAGGCCCCAAGTGTATGCACAGTGCTTAGCAGAGATTTTTCTTATGTGCAGGAATGGGGGCCTCTGCAGGAAATGCTGGATTCAAGGAAGCTAACAGGTTTTTCTTGCTACTGAACTTCTTAAGAAATTCTAATATGTGCTCCAAAAAGGAAAGATGTAATGGATATGGAACCTTTTATTGCAGAGTGTCTCAATGGAATGGTGTTCCTGGGTCAGACTTTGAAATAGGCTGCTCTGGGGAAACCACTCCAGCCCTGGGCTTCCAGCAGCTTTCTCGGGAGCACCTTGATGGGGGAAAAACTTCGACGATGTCAGCTGGAGTGAAAACCAACAGCAAGGGAAGAAACCTGTCCCCAAGGCCCTCTTAGTTCGCCCACATGAGAGAAGGCTGGAAGGAGATAGATGTCTGCATGACCCATCCTTCCCCACTAAGGACAGTGAGGGTACACAGCCTCCGGGAGCAGGGCCTCTCCCTCCCCACAGTGCTCAGAGAATAATGAACAACCGCATCTGCACCATGAATGAAGGAGATGAGCTGCCTCTGTTTCAGAGGAAGAGTTCTCCAGCTGCAGAGGCAGAGGCTGGGAGGCCAGGGAGGTGACCAGGGAGCTCAGTGCCCTGAGGAGAAGGACATGGAGCAAATACTCAGAGGCCCGGAGTGAAACACAGTGCACTTTATTGGCTACAGACCAGAGGGGTGGAGGGGACTGTGGGCTATATACATCAGAACTGTGGAGAGCACCCCACCCAGGGAGGGGACCCCGGGGCAGCAGAAGGTGGCCGCCTAGGCCACACACAGGCACAAGCTGCAGCCAGAGTGGGGAGCCTGAAATTCTTGTGGCTGGGCTTGGCCAGGGATCTGGAAGGAGGAGCAGGAGGCCACCAGTCTTCCAGCGCGGAGCCGTGTTCTTGGGGAGCAGGGGGTGGCGCTGGGGGTGTTGCTGATATGGGGGCATGGGGAGCGGAGGAGAGACGCTGGGGTGGCTGAGATGCTGATGCACGCTCTTTATCTGGAGTAGCGCTGGGAGGACTGAGAGAGCTTGATGCTGCCGCTCCGGTTGCTGGCCGAGCTGAAGCCCCCGCCACTGATTACATAGCGGGCCCCGGAGCCAGAGCCAAATCCGCTGCCACCGCTGAAACCGCTGCTGCTGCTGCCGCCTCCAAATCCAAATCCACCGCCGATTCCACCGCCGCCTCCCCGGCCAAAGCCACTGCCTGCGCCGCCTCCAGCGCCGAAGCCACCGCCCAAGCCTCCGCCGTAGCCACCTGCTGAGGCAGAAGTCGCGCTGCTGCTGCTGACCACGGCTGTGGGGGAGAGGACAGGACCAGGACAGAGATCAGTGCCGGCCACCAGGCCCGGGACTATCCAGAGCGGATCACGGCAGCTTTGCACAGGATGGTCATCACGAGACGTTCCAAGGCCACAAGCTACTCACTCCCCTGCCTTTATGAATTAGCCAGAGATTCCTCCCACAGTCCAGTCTTGATGACCCCCTTGGAGGGGATCTAGCCTCTGAATTTCTCCTCCTATTAAGGCCCCCCCATTGGATATTCCACATTGCCCTTCTAAGCCTATTAAAAGTGCCCTGAACCCAGAACAATTACAAAAACCAATGGCTTCCCTCTCCTCTCCCAGGAAACCCCTCCAACTTCCATAAAAATATGTTTAAATTGGTTGCTACTACTCTGGATTAGTACAGATATTTCAGAATTAACTCTCATTTTCATAGCTACTTTCAGTACTTACAGATGCTGACAGCACTTGGACACTCTCCAGACATCCTGTTTGAGAAAGCAAGAGAATGTCGCCCGTCACAAAGCACATCACCAACAGGTCCATGGACCAAGGGCATGAGCAGCAGACAGAGCTGAACAGAGAAGCCTGGCAGATCGGTGAGCTTTCTCCACCCCTCTCTGAGCCATTGCAAGGAGAGCCTGTGGGCATTGGTTGTATACACGCTTCGGCTGCCTGGGAGGGACTGGGCTGGTAGAGGCAAATGCTTCTCTGCAAGGCCTTTCTTTATATAGCAGAGCTCCATCCCTGGTCACTTGGTCACTTATCTGGCCCTCAGCATGTGACTTGAGCCAGGGGGTGTGGGAAGACGGGACTGGGGGATCACCTGTACTCCTCGCCCTCCAGCAGCTTGCGGTAGGTGGCAATCTCCACATCCAGGGCCAGCTTGACGTTCATCAGCTCCTGGTAGTCACGCAGCAGCCGGGCCAGGTCGTCCTTCGCCTGCTGTAGGGCAGCCTGCAGCTCTTGGAGCTTGGCATTGGCGTCCTTGAGGGCCATCTCCCCACGCTGCTCGGCTTCCACAATGGCCGTCTGCAGGTTGGCATTCTGGGGCAAGGGAGGTAAGAAGGATGAGCTCAGTAAGAGCGCCCCAGGCCCTTCCTGACATGCAATGGATTTTCCCATCTTAAAGTCAGGGAACATTCCTCCTCCCCTAGTGCCTCCATCTTGTCTCCATGTGTGGAGATAGCGCCCTGTGAATCACCCAGCCTGAGATAACCTCCAGACCTCTATTCCAGGGGAGGAGTCCTGAGATCCTAGCCCCCCACCCCTCAGCAGTCATCCCAGGTGCCAGCATCCATGATCATCCCACCTGCTTCTTGACATTCTCAATCTCTGCTCGCAGCCTCTGGATCATTCTGTTGAGCTCTATGATCTCACTTTTGGTATTTCTTAGGTCATCCCCATGCCTGCCAGCCGTGGTCTGCAGCTCCCCCAACTAGAAAAAGAAGGGAAGATGGGGTATTCCTACAGCTTTGCTTGACTTGTTTCTATACCTCCGACATCACCCACCAAACGTTGAGAAGTTCAGTAAGCATTTGCTAATATGATAGGGCATTGGGTTTCGGCAGGGACACCTCCCAAGGCAGAGGAAAGAGAACATCTGGGTTGTTGTGGTAGATTTCCTACCCTGTAGTTCCTGAGCAAGCTGGAGTCAGTCCCACATAGCAGGTGACCACCTCCCCCAGGGGCAATACTTTCTACAACTGAACCACCATTAGAAGGATGTCTTCAGAGGGTAGAACCAAAAGCCATTCACCCAGTGACCACTGGGAACTCAGTACCCAGCTGTCCAATAGGCCACAGCCTCTCTGAAGCCTCCAGTGGATCCTCTAAGGGGTGCCTAGCACCAACCTTGGTCTGGTACAGGGCCTCCGCTTCGGCCTTGCTCCTCTGGGCGATCTCCTCGTACTGCGCACGAACCTCAGCAATGATGCTGTCCAGGTCCAGGCAGCGGTTGTTGTCCATGGACAGCACCACAGACATGTCACTGACGTGGCTCTGCATCTGGGACAGCTCCTGTTAACACAGAGCAAGCTTGTTCATTTTTGGGATCCATGTAACAAGCACACAGGGCCCCAAAGAGATTCCTGATCAACAGTCTCATTCACTGACTCCTTGCTCCAAATGTGTATGGGCTGCACACTATCCCCAGCCACTCAGACAACCCCATGTCTGCAGCCCATCCTGTGGAATCCCTTCCAAGGGTCCTCATCTCCAGACTCATCCTACATCATCGTCTGGGGCCTAGATACCAAAATGCACCAACCTCAAATCTGGAAACATCTCACTCTCCCTCTGCCCCCTCTTAGTAGGTAACATCCTCACAGCATTGTAGAGGGTCCTCAGGAAGTCGATCTCATCTAGCAGGGCATCCACTTTGGCCTGAAGCTCCACCTTGTTCATATAGGCAGTGTCCACATCCTGAGAAAACAGGAGCGTAAAGATCTTATTCCCCAAGGAACGAACAACCAACCATAACTGCAGCAAGAAAGAGCAGAGGGGGCTGCTGCAGTGAGTCTCTGTCTAAGACCAGTCTCCACTTGAATGGGCAATTTGCACCTCATTAGGATGGTCTAAGTTCAATCCTACCAAACAACTAAAAGCTGATGAGATCTTTTAGGGACTTTCCGGACAAAGGTGCACCTGACTTCTGTTTATTGCTCCAAAGGCCTGAACTTGGCAGCTCTGTGGCAGCGGAGTGAGGAGATTCCCCCAACCCAGCCAGAAACCTGTAGCTACAAGACTCAGAAACCTCACACACAACCCTTACCTTCTTCAGAGTCACAAATTCATTCTCAGCAGCTGTACGTTTATTGATTTCATCCTCATATCTGCGTGAGTAAAAAAAAAAAAACAGCTGAGTTTGGTTTTGAGGTCAAAACCAAAACCATAAACACCACTGATCCCTGGAACTCTGAAAGCTCATCTCTTCCATCCCTCCATCCCTGTCCCGCCCCCTCAGATGAGCACATCCTCTTTACTATCTCCCTGTTATTTAGGGGGACCAACCATGTCGATTTGCCCAGGCAAACTGGTTTTAGCACAAACTGTCTGGTTTTAGCTAAAAGTTGCGCATCCTAGGAAACCCTCAGTCCCAGGCAAACCTCTGGGATGGTTGGTCACTGTGCCATGAGTTGTCCCAGAATCTTTCAGAATCTTTCAGATGCCAGAACCAGGATTCCCCAATGTGGCTCATGAGGAAATGCTTCCCTGACTCTAAACCCTTCCTTTTTTTTTTTTTTTTTTTTTTGACATAGTCTCGATCTGTAGCCCAGGCTGGCATGCAGTGGTGCAATCTTGGTTCACTGCAACTTCCATCTCCTGGGTTCAAGCAATTCTCTAGCCTCAGCCACCCAAGTATCTGGAATTACAGGTATGTGCCACCACATCAGCTAATTTTTGCACTTTTAGTAGAGATGGGGTTGCACCATGTTGGCCAGGCTGGTCTGGAAGTACTGACCTCAAATGATCTGCTCACCTCGGCCTCCCAAAGTGCTGGGATTATAGGCATGAGTCACTGTGCCTAGCTAAACTCTTGCCACAATTTTATTTGCAAAGAACTAAATTGGGGAAGGAGGGTGAGGGGGAACTGAATGAACCAAGCTGTCCTCCATGAAGGTAAGGAGAGGGAAATGGTACAGGTGACACCACTGCCCGGCAGTCAGGGGGCATGCAGAAAGGGCCAAGACTCTGAGACAGGGTGGGCCACGGCACCTTCCCACTCCTGCCCTGTCACTCACTTCTTCTTGAAGTCCTCCACCAGTTCCTGCATGCTCCTCAGCTCAGAGTCCAGGCGGCTTCTCTCTCCGAAGATGTTGTCCAGGTAGCTCCGCAGGTAGTTGATGTGATTCTCAAAAAGAGGCTCAAGGTTGTTGGTGCCTGAAATGGAGCTTGTGCCCTGCTGCTGGAGCAGGTTCCACTTGGTCTCCAGGACCTTGTTCTGTTGCTCCAGGAACCGCACCTGCAATGGTTGCAGGAGGCAACATCACGCAACACTTGTAGCAGAGGAGCAGAGGGGCCTTCACCCAGGCAAGGCTAGGTGTCTATCTCCCTGCGCCCCCAGCACAAAGACCTAGAAAGGATGCAAAGATAGGCTCCTACTGCAGTCAGAGACATTATGGTCAGACAGGAGATCAGTCAGGACACTACACTTGCAGCATGGTTTGGAAAGTTATAGAGGAAGGGGAAACTGGAAGTAGTCCCTACCTGAAAGCAAGAGAATTAGAAGATTGACCCCTTGGTGTCCCTGGGGACTTCGTGACCCTACCTCAACTTCCAAAACTACAGTACACTCTGCAAAAATGCACATAAATCTCAGCAGCAGCATTTCCACACATGACTCTACTGACATGCTAGCCCTTCAGAAACAGGGAGGTGGTGCTGGCTGACACCATAGTTAGCATGACAACACCTCTCTTGAGCCTGGCAGAGAGGCAGCCCCATGAGAGCTGTCCTGGTCTGGAAAAGCTCACCTAGCATTATTCTCTTCCTGACTGGGCTGAGTAGGGGTGCAAAGTCATTCATTTCTCCACAGTCCCTTGGGACTAAGGTTCCACTTATGCTCCTAATCCCTTCTCCAGGGCATTAGTCTCCTCTGCCTGGCACAGTGACATGTAGGGGAAAGGGCTTCCTGGAAAGCCTCAGAGGACAACCTGTATTTGAAAAGTCTCCCATTCTCGGTGGACTCTTCCCTGACAGTGGCCATGACCCTCGCCTTGGGCTGCCTGCCCTGCCAGCCTGGGCCTCAGTGAAGCAATAACTGGAGACTTCGGCAGAGGCTCTGACAAACAGGATATGTGGTGCTCAGGTCCAAATGGGGGACCGTTTTCTTTCCACACCTCCCCTCTCTTGACCATGTGGACAAACTCCACAGCCCTGACTATCTTCTCAGACCCTAGAGTTCCACCCTAACTCTTCACCCTCCAGTCTGGCCCATCCAAGACACATATAAACACTGTGTCCCAGGGGTCAAATTCAAAGTCTCTAGCCCAGAAAGGGATGGCCAGCCAGAGCGTCATCACCTTGTCGATGAAGGAGGCAAACTTGTTGTTGAGGGTCTTGATCTGCTCCCGCTCCTGGGCCTTTACTTGCCCAATCTGGGGGTCGATCTCCACATTGAGGGGCTGCAGGAGGCTCTGGTTGACAGTCACTTCCTGAATTCCCCCGGGAAAGCCACCAGGGCCAAAGCCACCAGGACCCCCAAAGCTGCCAGGCCCACCAAAGCCACCAGGGCCACCAAAGCCACCAGCCCCTCCAAAGCCACCAGCTCCACCAAAGCCACCTCCCATTCCTCTGCCACCACCAAAGCCACCACCAAAGCTACCTCCATAGCCACCCCCAAAGCCATAGCTGCTACGCCCTCCACCAAATCCACCAGCCCGGGAGCCACCAGCAGCCACACTGATGGAGATGCTCTTGTTGCCACCCAGGTTGTAGAGGCTGCGACTGCCAAAGTTGCCTGCTCCACTTCGAAAGCCACAGGCCCCTCTACCTGCTCCCCCGGACCAGGCCACACTGCTCATCCTGCTGCTGCCGGAGACCACAGCAGAGCGGCCGGAGAAACCCTGGCTTCCGCCACCTGATATCTTACTGGCTTGTCTGCTCATGGTGAGGAGGTTGGTGAAGAGAAGAGTGTAAGTTATGCAGGGACACTGAGAGTGAGAGGACGAGGGAAGGGAACTGAAGACCTGTGCAAAATAAATCCCTTTATATACCTTTGAGGAGGTTGTTGGGCTCAAACGAAGGAGAGATAATTAATCCCAAATATTCATGGGTTGGGTTTGCCTCCAAGGCAATAAGTTTGTTCCAGGCTACCAAACACACCCTGAAAATAATCCGAAATGGTAAAAGTGCTAAGGTGGCAGGCTTCCCTGGCAAGGGGGTGGTGCCTGGTGTCTTTTCCTAGCTTTGTCCAATGGGACCCCGGAGGCACGCTCACCTGCATCAGGTGCTCAGGAGCCGTCCCTCTGCCTGTTAGCTGCCCCGGCTCCTGCAGAGCTATGCGTAGTTCTGGAAAGAATGAAGTGGAGGGGGAATGGGGGGGTTCTGCTTCTCTGAGTGGTGGAGACAGTGGCACCCACTCACAGCTCTGGGACAGTGCCTTAATGGGATAAGTGATGCAGGTCTCTCCATGATTATTGAGTACACAGTATGTGCCCAGCTCTGTGCCGGGCTTGGGGATGAAGTGCTGACCTCTCCTTCTCCCTTTCTGGAAACGAAGACTAGAACTATCACAAATCTACCTCCTATGTTTTTCCTGCACTCCAAGCTTTAGTTCAGGAGGTAGTGACTTTTTGGTTTATGACTATCTTCAGAGAAAAATCAAGTTGACACCTATGCATGTTGAACAGACACCGGCAAAAACCAACATGCCTAATGTTTGTTTCTCTTGAAAACTTCCCAGAGAAACTATACGCTATTATACATCTCAGGGTTTCTCTATGGCTTCCTTTCTTGCTCCCCACATTTTGGCATTTCTCTGCTTTTAGCTTAAGGCCTAGGGAACAAGAAACTCAAATATTAATTTAACAGCAAATTCAGCAAATGCTTACAGACTGCCGAATATGTGCCAGGCCTTGTGCAAAACCCGAGACCCAGTCAAGAACAAGACACACAGAGCCCCTGTGGGACCATTCTCTGGTCGAAAGACGTGCTCCTGAGAGTCGCCCTCGCACCCCCCCGAACCCCACCAATCCCCAGAAGGCCAGATCTGGCAGAGCTGGCAGCATTGTGGAACATGTCTGATGCCGAAAGCCTGAAACTGCCAGTCTGGGGTTGTTCAGAGGCTTACGATGGGGCTTAGTTTGTTCAAGAGGAAAGCCATCCTGTCCACTCTAGAACTGGCCGAGTTAGCTGCTTATCTCTCCAGGACAGGCCTTTTTTTGTTCTGTCTGCTGCACCTTGGGCCCTTCTAAGGGTGAGGTCTGTATGGCCCTGGCAGGAACCTACTTAGAACTGGGGGAAAGGACAGACTTCAATACCCACTGGACAGGGCTGGGAGTAGCCCATGTGCAAAGGAAGTACAATTTTCTTCAGTGGCCTAGTGCTTCCATTTTATCCTTATCTCTCCCCTGTGTTACCTGCCAGGCTGTCCAGCGTCCTGGCTCCTCCCCAGGATAAAACCAAAAGCTCTCCAGGAGTTTCCAGTCTTGTTAATATACTGGGTCCCTGGACCAAAGCACAGTGCTTCACCAATAGGAAGTGCTCATAAAGTTTGGTTCATTGAAAAAAATGAATGAGTCCATCAATCAATTATTAATGAATTAACGATTAAGCCCTTATACTGGATTACAACCAGATAAAGCTGGTTGAAAGCTAATTCAACTCCCATTGTGTGAGCTAGCACAAGCTCACTGAGATTATTTCAATGTGAGGAATCCAGACTTCTCAAATTTGGTGTTCAGATTTAGGAAAATGTACGTACAAAACGAGTGTCACCTCCTCAAGGAAAAAAATGTAGAACCACAGAATCAAGAACCAATCACTCAAGAATCAATAAATCAATCACAGAATCAAGTTGAAGTTGACTGGACATTTGAGGTCCCACAGTCTGCCCCGTTCATTTCTGGATTCCCCTCTCCAGCATCTCTGACTTACATCCCTGATCTTCTGCAAGTTCTGCCCATGGACTCTGAAGTTAGCCCAGGTCCAGAGGGCGGCCACACAGGCTTCCCTCCTCTTTGCTCCCTCAGGGACAATGAACCAAACCCAGGGCTAGACCAGATCCTCCCATAACTAAGCATGACCAAAGCTGTTTAAATTCTCTATATTTCAGCATCAGTAACCATAAAGATGATCAATCATCTCTGACCCTCTAGATCTCACAGGAACGTAGCTAGATGAGTGAAATCTCTGCCAACATTTTAAGAAACATATCACAAGGCCAAGGTGGTGGCTCACACCTGTAATCCCAGCACTTTGGGAGATTCAGGTGGACAGATTGCTTGAGCCCAGGTGTTTCAGATCAGCCTGGGCAACAGGGCAAAACACCATCCCTACAAAAAAGTACAAAGATTAGCAGGGTGTGGTGGCATGTGCCTATGGGAGGTCAAGGCCAGGAGGTCAAGCCTGGGAGGTCAAGGCTGCAGTGAGCTATGATTGCACCACTGCACTCCAGCCTAGACGACAGAACAAGACCGCGTCTCAACAAAAATAAAAAAGAAAGAAAGAAGGAAACATATCCCAAAAATTAGGCCATATTTTTTAAATGATATTTAAGAGAGCAGGATGGAGGACCTACCTTTAAACCAGACGGAAATGAGGCTGCTGCTTGGTCAGGTGTGGGGCCTAGAGTGTAGGATGGTGAGTCTCCAGGAATTCTGAAACCAGTAGTGATTCAGGGTAATTAGTGCCTCCATCAAGGGGAGATCCCAGTCATTGCCAGAGCCCACTGATTCTGAATAATGCTTGTCAGTCCTCTAGAGGGAATGATCTTGCAGAAGAATCTTTGAGAAGCAACGTCACAACCACTGCTGTCATCAGCTAGTCCTGGGTCTGGGACATCCCCAACAGGTGGAGCAAGGAAGGGAAAAAGGGCATAATCTATATTTATTCTAGGGGTCGGGGTCGCAGAGAAGGCATGGCTTGGCCTTTGAGAGGACAGGGAGCAAAACGAGGATTGCGGAATACATTTGCGGGACTGGAATGTCAATTCTGATCAGAGTGGTAAGTGAAGGAAGTGGTGGAAGGGGAGGAGATAATCAGTGAGTTGAAATTCTTCTTGGTTGGGCCCAGCCCTCGAAACTTCGAGGACCTGATAAACATTTTGAGAAAATAGAGTTAGTTTATAGTCACCCCCAACACCTGAATTATCTGAAGTTTATTAACTTAGCACCCTAAGTGCTTTCTCTCTGCAGAGAAGAGTGAGTCACTGGATGGCAGTGTGTGAAATCAGAGACTCATAGGGCGCTATGGCCAGGAGGCTCTCCAGTCCACTCCTCTACCTCAAGGCAGAATCCACTTGGCTGCTCCTACTCTTCAAGATCCCCATGGAAGGCGATTCATCAAATCTCCTGACTTGCCCAGGCCAGCAAGACCCCACCCTGACCCAAGGAAGGTCTTCATGGATCTAGCTTTCAGACCTTCCGCTCCATTTCACAGGAGCCTGACTCTTTTATGGGATCAGTGAAGTTGTGGTCAGCAGGAGCCCCAGTCACCTGTCTGTCATGGCATGACACCCAGACCTCTCTGGGTGTGAAGGTCCCTTTTAACACACACACACAATTACATTGACCTGCACACATGTCAGAACTTATGCTTCCAATATCCTTTGAGAACATACATTTCTACTATGAATAGAGCAACACTCTTACATAAAATTGTGGTTCATGATCATATACATTTGAAAGTGGCAATACATATACATAAAAAGACACACTATTCCCTCAATCGAGAGACAGCTACATCCACATGCATTGTCAGAACGCTTGCAGTCCTGATGCAACATTAACCCTAACTGGGGCCTCTCAGCCTCAGGTCTCAAGCTCCTGCCCCTTCCACCGCTGGACACCTGCCTTAGCTGAGATTCCTCAGTGAGCACTATTACCACCTGTCTTCCCTGTCCTTGTGTTCATTGACCTCTTGCCCTGGCAGGCCTTCAGCAGAGGGGAACTGAACTGGAATGAATTTGCTCTTGTCTGGCCTTCCAGAGTAAAGCCCACAAACTTCCCTGGCTTCTGTATCACAACCCTTCCAATATTAGAAAATGCAGTGGAAGTCACAGACCCCCACCTCCCAGTTAGATAGACCCAGTTGTTTCTCCCAGTCCTCAGTACACGTGGTTTCCAGGACTCTTCCATTAATATGTTAATGGACCTCTTAAAACTACAGTGCCTTGCTAAGATAGGATACTCGAAGATGGCTTCAAGTGCACCAGAACGAATAGGAAGCTGGTTCCTGTCTGTGACTGGGGGCACTGTGCTTCTTTCAGTGCAAGCTGAGATTTTGTCCCCTTCTTTTGTTCTTGACTTGCTTCAGTCCTGCCTGGGAAGGAGGAATGGTAAGGCATGGGTTTTTTCTTTGTGTTGTGTTGTGTTTTTGAGAGAGAAAGAGAGTGTCTCACTCTGTTGCCCAGGCTGGAGTGCAGTGGCACAATCTCAGCTCACTGCAACCTCAACCTCCCAGGCTCAAGCCATCCCCCCACCTCAGCCTCCCAAGTAGCTGGGACACAGGCATGCCCAGATAATTTTTTTTATTTTTGGTCTTGAACTCCTAGGCTCAAGCAAGCCTCCCGCTTCAGCCTCCCAAAGTCCTGCAATTGTAGGCATGAGCCACCATGCCGGCCAGCTTCCTAGTTTTAAATAACTCACTTCCTCCTCCTGCTGTAAGAATAGACTGAAGGGACAGCGTTCACAAAGCACTTACAGAGAAAATAAACATAACAGTAAAAATGGAAGAAAAAAAGTTTGCCCTGAATAAGGCTCTATTTACATAAGATTGCTCTGCATGATAAGAGCTGTCCATTTATATTTGTGCTGAATCATGTCTGGCTGGCAGACCTGCTCAAACCAGAGGCTTGTACACAGCAGAAATCACAACCTTGTTCTCACCGAAGAATTCCCAAAAGATCTTAGGAAGTTATTAAACAGTTGTCTTGAAACAAAAGATAAAAGGGGAGGTGAAAAAAAGCATTAAGTGGTCATGTAACCTGGGAAAGAGGAATTTAAGAGAAAAATTCCTTA